AGGGAAGCGAAGTAGGGTCTTTTACTCGACTGTGCATTCCATTTGGGGCCGTACATGGCTCGTCTTTGTGCAGCCATGCTCTCCTCTCCCCAGGTGCTGGCAGAGTAGCAAGGAACTGTCAGCCAACAGTTGGGCAGGGGGTCAAATGCCACATTTGCTTTGCCAGCTAATCTGAGGAGAAGGGTGGCACAACAACTGCATGAAGCTTTCGATGAGGTCTGAGAGGCGGATTACCGAGACATAAGAGATTGCATCAATAGTCCGCCATCTGACCTACCCGCTGCTGGTTGCAGCATCACATCGAATCCAGCCTCCTTTCTGAAACCCTCCCGCTTCCAACAAGTTACTGAGTACTTCCCAACCCATTTACCAGTCGCAACATCTGCAGCCTCCGAGGGCTGCGAGTGGCTCTCTTCTTCAGGAGTACAAAACAGCTCCTGTCTGCAAGCCTCTACAGATGCAGAGACCTTCTCTGGCTCTGGGTCCCTCTTACTCCTCAGCACGCTCAGCCACGACTTCCCCCTCTTGTCTCAGTCCACTGCTAGGTGCCCCCGAGCCTTCAGGGCATCCACAGGGGTCTTTGGAGTGGAGATGTGGTCGGCTCCAAGTATATCATCCAGCTCCTTGTCTTTTCTGCAGTTCATGGGTACAGTACCAGAGCGGCAGTTTGTTTTCTGCATCTTGTAGTAGGCATTTCACACCACCTTCATTTTGGCCCTACTCTGCAGTGTGTCCTGGCCAGATTGGAGTGCAGCTGAGATTAGACTGCCTCCTCTCCCCCAAACATTGATGAAGTCTAGAACCTCAGCATTGCCCCAGCAGGGGATTTCCTGGTGTGTGGAGTAGGCATGGCCAGCTGGAGAAATGTGCTGAGAGCACACCACGTGCCACCGATCAAACAGGAAGGGGGCTTTCAAATTTCAAAATGAATGCTTGGGTCGGTGTTGGTCACCTGAGCAGGGCAGTAGATTTCAAAGAGATGACAAGAGAGGCCAGACCAGGCATTGTAGGAAGGGTACCAGAGGTCAGCCAAGACGCAGTGCTACACCACAGTGTCCGCGCTGGCACAGAAAGCTCTGTAGAGCCCTGCGCAGATACAAAAATTTGTTTCTACATCTGTAGCTGCAAAAATGAACTTCAGATATCCGCATCCACAACCCTAGAGGTGGGTACCTGTGAATATCTGGGGCTTTGCAGGGCTCTGAAGCTCAACACTTCTCGCCGAGGTGGTGTACTTAGAACGCACTAATTGGGGAGCCTAGTGCACACTAAATGCCTTGCCAGTGTGGACACCGTGAAAGTTACAGGTCTGCCCAGTAACTTGTCAGTGTAGACTTGGTCAGACAATGTGATCTGCTGCTGTCCTTAACTGTCCACCCTGAACTTGTGGGCATAGAGCTGCTTTGCTTCAGAGCCTTGTTGCGGTGATGTCAGATGAGGATCAGCATTAAACTGAATTTTGAGTGTACTTTAAATTGCATTGCTTTTTTGGGATGTTTCAGACCAACCTCCTCATGTCACTGTAACATAGCGGTCTTTTTTCATACACTTAAACCACGAAGAAAAAGAAATTGTGCTCTGTTCTTGGAGCTGTGCAGATAATTCCGTGCCAAACATATTTGTTTACCGTGGTAATGTCTGAGTTGTATTAAACTGGTTAATAAAGGGATTTGTTTTAGGAACAAGGTAAATGACTAAAACAGATGGGACAGGAAGATGTGCAGCTAAAGCTGAAAAGTAAGATTATTTTTGGAGTTTTTGTATTGTATTTCTGAGAAATTAAATTTAGTTGTGAGAACATCTTTGTGACAACTGAAAGTATCCTGGCAACCTGTTTGAGGTCTGATCCTATGCTCTTTAAATGGATCAATCTCCCATCTCCTTCATTAGGGATTTATAAAGATTGCAGTTTAAGACCCTTTATCCCAGGTTTGATTACTGCAAGATCATATTACAAAATGGATTTTACCATGACTTTAATTTTAAATCTATCTTTAGTTGTAACAAATATATACACATACTAAAAATATTTCATTGTTAATACTTCCACGTCAGTCTGCCTATCTCCATCTCTTGTCTCAAGTCCTATTCTTAGATTGTAAATGCTCTTCGTGCTGTGCATACAAAGAACGTAGCTCAGTGGGGCACTGGATTGTGACCCTTAGGCACTATGATAAGAAAATTAGTAATATTGCATTTGTTTTTACCATTCTGCCAATGTCTTCAGACTATGGTTTTGTACTTACACATGAAATATTTACACATTAGCACAGTAATTGTAAAAAGTTTAAAATGGAGTGGCTTATAAAGGTGTGACAGATTTCTCACAGTTATTCACATTTCAGTAAATGACAATCAAAATTAGGGACTTTTGAGGCAGCATAGAGAAATAATGAATGCTTTGCATCTATAGTACCTTCCATTTCAGGATCTCAGTGTTAATTTCCTCAAAGATCAGCTAATTTAGCCTGTTAAGTCACAATATCTTAACTCCAGAGACTGGGTGATAACAGCATAGAGCTTCAGCGTGTTGCCCATGGTCACCCAGATAATCTGTGGCAGAATCTAGACTATAAACCCACTTCCCTAATTCATAACCACCACTCTCTAGCCACGAGGCTGTCATTCCTGATTATTAAGTGTGATTAGTGGCCTGCCTCCAGACTTGAGAATGAGGGATCACTAGATTGCCTGGTGGGAGGAGCCAAGTTATTCCTGCCCTGCCTCTCTTACAGGTATGGGGGCAGGAAGTATAAAGTTGAGGGGAAGCAATAAAAGGAGGCAGATGTCTCCAGCCTGCTGCAGCTATTGAAACTTTGCTATGCACCACCCTTCCCCCCCAAAGGAGACTAACCCTGAACAGGAGTTTCCAGGACTGCCATCAGCCTTGTGCCTGGAGAAGATGGAGGACCCTTGGACTACAGAACCCTGCACCTGGAATGGGTTGGAAAGGTGTCAAAGGAAACGAGGCCTTGCTCTACTTTGCCACCGTTATGGCCCTTGGCTGTCCCCTGAAGTGCTTATAATTCCTCCGAATTTGGTATCAGCACAGATTTTTTTAAATATATTTTCCACTCCATTGTCCACAAAAAATCTTGACTTTTATAGGATGATGAACAGACCCCTCTGGGGCCCCATTAAATATGTGCTCCCAGTTAAACAACAAACCATTGATTATTACTCTCTGTGTGTGGTTTTTAACCAGTTCTATGCACCACGTTATAGTAATTTCATCTGTATCACGTTTTGTAAATTGTGTCAAAAGCTTTACTGTAATCAAGATAAATCATGTTTGCTTGCCTCCTTCTCCTCCCCTGCCCCCACACTAAGCAAGTAACCTTCTTAAAGGAAGAAAGTAAGCTGGTTTGGCATGATCTGTTCTTGAGAAATCCAGGTTAGCTATTATCACCCTCCTATCATCTAAGTCTTTTTCTTCTGTGTTTATATAATGGCTAGCACAACGGGGTCTTGATCATAACTGCGGCCACAGTCATACAAATAATATTAACTGCTGCCCTGTATGTTCTGAGATGCAGCGATCTTTCTGGTTTAGAACTAGACCCTTGTGTTTCACACATGTGCAAGCCCAATGATATAAATGAGGTCAGAATTTGTCCCTTTTAATAAGTATATTTGGGATTGTTAGTGGCTTTCTTGTTCTGGTTTAGTAGTATTTTGTTTAAACCTTAGTAGTGAGAAAACACAGATTAGAAGACTGTGAAGGCTTCATTTTTATTTTCAGAGGGTTCCCAAGCCAGACAAATTTATCAAAGGCTGTCTGTTTGTAGGCAACTATTGTAATCTGATCCAAGCTTTTCTGAGTTTAAGTTTAGAGTGAAAAATGTGCCCCTTGATTAAACACAGCAATTAAGGATTTTAGGGGTCTTGGTTTTGACCCATTTTAGATGAAGCACTGACCTCAGTGCAGTAGATTCAGTATTGAGTTATGTTACCATTGTAAGACAATTAGATCATCTTTCTGGAGATTTTAGGGGACCAATTCATCATCATCATAAAAAAAAAAGTCTTTTCTCCTTTGAACCGCAACTTTTCTTTGAGTTTTGGATGCTATGTAGGGTTTTTATAATATTAATCTGATACTACAGTCTTACAAAGAAAAGCAGAATTATATTTCTAATTTCAGCTTGCACACTGACCAAATTAAGTGAATTTGTTTTTTAATCTTATTATGAAAGTAACTTAGATTAAGATAAACACTCTCTCACCATTCAATCACTTTGTCTCATAAGCACACTCACACAGACTGAAATGTCCATAGGTGCCTAGAATGCTTTTTAAAAACCCCACCCCTCTCCCATCAATTTCAATGGGAATTGTGTCTTTGAATCCCCAGAGTGGCTTTGAGAAAACATCACACTTAATTCCAGATATAAATTCAGGACTCCTTTGCCCGCCTCCTCAAGATACACACACTATGTAACTTGATGTTGTTACATTTCCACTACATGCATCTGACGAATTGGGTCTTTGCCCACGAAAGCTTATGCTCCAACACTTCCGTTAGTCTATAAGGTGCCACAGGACTCCTCGCCGCTTTTGTAATATTCAGACTAACACGGCTACCCCTCTGATACTTGATGATGTTGTAACCCATAGAAAATAGATCAGTATATTTATTTCAACAGGACATATGCTCAGGAATCAGTCACACCTGCAGAGATTTTTTGGCAAGGCTGGGCTCTAAAAGACTTTCTGTATGAAATGAATCCATGATCTTCTGCTGATTTAAATTTGCATTTGTATTTTAAACAGTTTTGTAAATGTCCTCACCCTTTAAGGATGCCTGTTGATGTACAAGACTTTGTATAAACCAGTGGAGAATAATGTTTAAAGTAGTCCCCTTTAGAATTCAGAGACAGTGAATTGATTCCTTATCTCCTTTTTCAGTCAGTCACCAAATTCTGTTATTTGCCATGATTGTACTGACTACTTTTGTTTTCATACATTTTTAAATCAATCTTTCTTTTCTTTTCCCTCAGACCGTATACACCCATGAGAGGGGCCCTCTCCACTGTGTGGTTTGACAGATGGAAGATCTCTAATGAGGGTCCAGAACACATTGAAACCATTGATTCAATGTGTCATGTACTTACAGACTTGATTGATGATGAGGTTAAATACGGCATTAGCAAGAATAGGATAATCTTAGGTAAGTGGTTTTTTTTTTTTTTAAGGTTATACCTTTATTGGAAGATTTATCCGGTGTTGCTTGGGTCCTTACCTCAAATAGGTTTTGTTTTTCTTCTTCATTTAAATCTTTGTTCTGGGGTGGGGCTTGGGATGAGGGGTTCAGTAGATAGATTGCCCCAGAGAGAGAGAGAGGACAACCCCAGCCCTCTGTCACTGCAGCAGCGTGGGGTCAGGTGAGAAGCCCATGACTGTGGCAGCAGGCAGAGCCAGAGGAGTGCGTGTCCCCTGTCTGGGAAACAGACGGACACAAACTCTCTGAAATAGCTGTCCCTTTCTCCACACCTAGCCCCTGCTGGCCCAATGGAGCTATAGCTGTCCCAGTCCCCATCTCTGGCCCCTTCCTATCATCCCTGCAGTCATTCTACAGTAACTATCCCTCCTCCCAGACCCTTCCTTTTCCCATTGTACGAGACAATTGAATTCCAGGCATAGCCCATTCTCATGATAAAACCAAACCCAGGCCTTGCTTTAAGTTATAAGAGGAAGCTGCCTACCAAATTTGGTGGTCCTAGCTCTTATTGTTTAGGGGGAGTTCTTGAACAGGCAGATGGTCGCACATTTCTAAAATATATACAGGCAGTCCCCGACTTACACGGATCCGACTTATGTCGGATCCACACTTATGAACGGGGCTTTTCTCACCCCGGAGCTCACGGGTGGCGAGTTGCCACCCGTGTCCTCTGGGGCAAGAAAAGCTTCTCCCGGTCTCCCTGGTCTGCTGGGGGGGTCCAGCAGCTTTGCTGGACCCCCCCCCCAGCAGCCCAGGGGGACAGGAGCAAAGCCGCCCAGGGGGCGGGGGTCCCGCTGCCCGGGCGGCTTTGCTCCCGGGCAAACGAGGC